TGCTGTTGCTGATGCAGGTTTAATGTTGCTGATGTCATTGTTTTTTGGGAGTTTTTCGTTTTGTTTTTAGATAGTTTGTCTTTTTTCTGGTAGCTTTTTAGATTTGTCTCTTTATCTTTGTCACTCTACAATTTCAGTTGACTGACAGATTTGTTTTTACTTACTCTGTGTAGATCTCTTGCTCAGGATTTCTTCAATTAGGATTTATATGGTAAATTAATTCTTGAAAATCACAAATTCTGTCTTTGAATATTGCTTTGTCTCCCCAATATTCTTTCTTTTTTTTCTCCAGGAAATTTGCCTTCTCATTCTACCTTTTGTGTCTCCTAACTACTTTTTCATATTTTCCAAGTTTTATTTTTAGGTAATTTCCTCAGTTCCTTCTCTGGTTTATCTTTTCTCTCTTTGATTGTGTCTACTTTGCCAGTTAACTCATTTGTTGAGTTTTTCCCCCCTTTAATTTCAGTGATTATATTTTTTACTCTTCAAGAGTCTAGTTCTATTTAAGAACAAATGTCCTGTTTTTCATGTTTGTCATTTCTTTCATGTCCTTAATCATTTTAGTTGTTTTATTTCTTTTACAGGGCTCTGTTTTCTGAGATTCCTTTTTTCTCAGGGAATTAATTCTCAAGTATATTGTGCATTCCAGCTCTTTGAGAGTTCTTCTAAGTGGGATTGTTTTTGTGGGGGGCAGATCTTGTGTATTCTGGGTTGTAGAAGCACTCATCAAAAACAGTTGGTGTTTGCTTCATGCAGACGTCCAGTGCCGGTGCAAGTTTCATGTGAATTTCTCACTGGGATTCCTATCCCATGAAGTCTGCTGGAAATTTTCCCTCTTACACCTGTGCATGATACAGGCATTGGGTTCTTTTCTCTGGATACCACCCCGGTCTGCTCCTTTCCTTCATCTCTCTCTTCCACAAGCAAGCTTACTTTTTTTTTTTTTTTTTTGGCCTTTGTTGGCCAGTAGGTAGAAAGTTTTCTCCTCCTACATTCACTGGTGTTGCAGCTTTTCTAGACTCCTTGGCTTCACACTGGGATTTGGGTTCCGTTCCCCATGTTTTATGGGCTGAAGGCCATATTTCATATTCTCCTGTGGGCATTAAAGCCTCAGTTAGAGACTATATCTGGCCCAGGGTTTTTTCCTCAGACTTTTCGCAGTATAACCTCTTAATTCCAGATTTTTCTTTCATTTCTTGTTCTTGGAGTTCTTTGTTGTTCTTTTGACCTTAGGTATATTTTAAATTTGGGTTGTATTTTATCTTGTAGTTCTGTGTATTCACAGTTTCGGTAGGGGTTGAAGGGACGGTATCATGTTAGTGGAATCTGATTTCCCAGAAACGATATTGCCCTAACTGGTTGTTTGTATTTAGGAATGCTGTTCATTTAGTATACGTTAATATTGTAATTACATTTACTGTAATGAATTCTCTCATTATTTACAAGAGTCTTTTTGTTGGTTTTCTTGTGTTTTTTCCAAGTATAGAATCATGTCATTCAAAAACACTGATAGTTTGACTCCATAAAGTAGCCTTGAAGTTTTTTATATTAGTTCTTCTATTTTGCTAATTGCTCTGGTTAACTCCTCTGGTGAGCATTTCCGTATGGTTTCCTCACTTTTATTTGAATTGGGATACATTTAAGAAAAGATGTTTTTAAATGTTCTGAAGCAATTAATTTAACAGGTCCGACTCAAGTATCACAGTTTGCATTTAACCTAATGAATTATAGTGCATAGGTATTGTATATGATGTCACCAAATTGTCATTCTAAGAATAAATTATAAAAAGTAACACAAAACATAAATACAAAAATGAAATGTTTCTGAATCATCTTTTTTTTTTTAAGTACAAATTTCCATTCTTCCATATTGTCTCTTAGTGGTATCCTCAGTGGTTTCTATATTTGCTTAAGAGTTCTGGTGATCGAGTACCGGTTAACAGCAAGGCACTGGTGTGGGAATTACCACAAGTAGGCCTTCCCCCTGTATATGGAAAGAGCGAACTTCTAAAGGAGTATTTACATGTGAGAGAGATGAAATCAAACCTGTTCGTTTTCATTCATCTTTACTTTTAACTACTCATTTCTGGAGTATGGTTCCACTCCTTTGTGCTGTTTGTAATTTAGTCTTGTATATGGGCAGTTGGTAGTGAGTGAGTTGTGGCTATTGTCTTCATAGGAAAGTACAGAATACCTCTCTTCGAGCAGCTATGTGCATATTGTACTCAGTTCTTTAACATGTTTGTAAAATATTCTGGTGGCACAAAGCTGTGCCTTATGTGGCTAGGTTTGATGTTTCGGTAATTTGGGGTTCATTTCATTTCTAGCTTCCTGTGCATTTAAATATCCTGTTACCCCTATGGGTGGTGGTACTTCATAGTGTACATGCTTTCTTTTGAATGTATTTAAATAACTTACCTGCCTCAGCTCAGATACGTGAAGGCAAATGTCAGTGTTGTAACTTTGTTTTAGAACAGCTACAACATTGACAATTTCATAGAAAGCTGGCTACTTATAACTTCTAAATTCTGTGCATGAATTTCCTTCTTAATTGACCACAGATTGTTTTTGGTAATCTTTCCCCATGTATTGAGCCTTCAGGAGATAGTGTACCTTCTGTCTCACTTACACACCTACTTTGGTGTCCAGATTTTTCCCTTCACCCCGTGCTGCACCTCCGCCACCCCACGTGGCTTATGCAGTTGCTCATGTTACTACTACAAGTAATGGACCCCTTTCTGCCCTCTAGTAAGGACTTAGGAACCGGGCGACCGTAGAGCATATTGACTAAGAGCACAGGCTTTGGAATCGAATAGATCGGAGTTTGAGTCTTGATTCTTTTGTTTAACAACCTGTATTTGTCCTTAGAATAAGTTTAAAAACTTTTTTAATGTTAGTTTCCTTTGCAGTGAGGTGTATATGACATACCTACCTCACAGGGTTGTTGTGAGGGTTGAACAGACTGATGTATATGAAGTACTTTTATTAGTGCCTGCCCCGTGGAAAGTGCTCAAGAATTGGTAGCTGTATTTCTTGCTGCTATTTAACTTAAAGGTAGTAAACACGTTCGCTTATCTTTGATGACTTGGCCAATTTTATCTTGGAAAGACTTGGAATACTAGCTTAGGAAAACTCTTAAATGCATTTCATATTAGGTAAGTGGGGAGTATTTATCTTTCAAAGATAGTTAAATAATTCAATTTTTTGCTGTATGGATTAACCTGCAATTCGATGTGTAATACAGAGTTAAGAAAACACAGAGAACTCTGGAACAGTTTTTTAAAAAAAATAAGCTTATATCTTAATATAGTAGCTTGGTTTCCTTATAAATACTGGTTTTTTTAAACGGGGGTTTAGATTTTTAGCGTTTCTCTTAGATACATTTAAGACACGCTTGAGAATGCCCGGCCTGTTTTCATGTCAGTGCAGTAGACATTGTATTATAGCGGTACGACTGTCCCATTTGGAGTCTGGAGACCTGGCTTTGAGTCTTGGCTTTGCTGTTGACTTTGCACAAATGTCACACTGGTCAAGTCAGAACCTCTTCATGTCTGACTTCTGTACTGTGGTGCTTGTAACTTGACCTGCCTCGCCTTCCTAACTCATTTAGTTGCTCAGAAAATCAGAATAATTACCTTAAGGCTCTTTAGAAAGTGGAAAGGGCTATCCCGAGTAGAGATAAGTGTTATCTCAGTTCTCACCTTATTTTTGTCCACCTACATCTGTCCAAAACACAGTGTTGGTGTTTTATGAATTTCTCAAAATTGAAATTCATGTCCCTGTTAATCATATTTCTCCGACGAGAGGCATTTTGGTAAACTTTTTTCTTGCATTGTGAGGTGGCATATTACTTTAAAGGTGTGTGTTTTAGTTACTCCCCGCGGCCACACAGTAGTTTGGGGAGTAAGCTGAGTTTTTTAAAGAAGTGTACCTATAGCTCTAGAAATTCTTTTCAGTCTCTGCTCAGAACTGATCACCTCCATTAAGCCTTTGATTGATTCTACCTGGTTTTAATTAACTTGCATTCCATCTGCATTTATGCATGTAGTTTGCAGTATGTTAATTTACAGTGGAGTGTTTTTGTAAGTCATTTTATGTCTTTTACATGTGACCTGGACTTGTTTTCTCGGCTAGTTGGAATCGCCTGAAGGGTTACGACAATTGTCCTTTCCCTTTCGTCACATTAGAATCCTCATAGAGGATGCCCTACATATAATGATTTCTTCTAGTTGTGTTTGCATAAAACTGCCACTGAAATCTCGTGGCATCATTTGACCTAATACTACAGGGCACACATCCGCAGAAGTTTTCATTCGTTTTAGCGTGTGCCTATTTAGAGTTGAAAGACAAAAGGCATAAAACCAGTGTACTGCTTGATTCAAAAGTAATAGTGTGTAAGCTGCCATGTACTTCAGCTGAGACTAGACTTCATTGTTTTGCTTTTTCAAACCATTCTGTTAACTGTATTTGGCCAAAAGAAATCTAGTAAATCTCATTAAATAGTTTGATTTTTAAAACTATACTACTGGAGGATAAGGTGGTATTTGTGTTAATAGCCATAGTTTTAAATGATTCTTTGCCAAAAAGGAATTGAGCCCTTGATGAAAGAAAGGCTTTTATTAAAGGCTTATAAAAAGGCTTTTTGAGAGTCCCAGTTGCTTATTTCTCATTTTTCCATAAAATTAATTTGTTAAATTACCGAGGATTCTTACTATTGAAGTTTCTCATGTAAACCTTGATATGGAGGAGACTATTCTTGCAATAAATTTCCTAGCTTATTTGGAAATGGCTATGTTTGAAAAAAAGAAACGTCTTTACACTTGCTTTCATCAGAGCTTTCTCTAAAACAAACCAAGATAAAATCATGGCTTTTATTTTTGCACTTAAAGAATTTGCTCAAGAGGATGTTTCTTCCAAATGAATGTTTGCATTTTATTTTCCAGACCTTTTTCTCTAAAACCAGTTTTTGCTCCTAAGAAACATTTTTACGTCTTCTTCAGGAATGTCCTTGTCTGCCGGATCTTCTCCTCTTCATTCTCCCAAGATCACTCCACATACTTCTCCTGCGCCCAGAAGAAGAAGTCACACTCCAAATCCAGCAAATTACATGGTGCCTTCTAGTGCCTCTGCATCTGTTAATAATCCTGTTTCTCAGACTCCATCTTCTGGTCAGGTGATCCAAAAGGAAACTGTCGGTGGGACGACTTACTTCTATACAGACACAACCCCAGCACCTTTGACTGGAATGGTATGTCTACATGACGGGAGAAGTGAGAGTAGTCTTACAGCAGTTCCTTCTTGATAATGAGATTAGTGAGGAGGTTCCCCCCCCACCCTTGCATCTTTTTATTGTGATGTGAAAACGTATTTACTTTTCTAACTTAGACGATGATCCTGACCTCTTCTTATCTCTTCAGAGTAAACTTTCTGTATTAATAATAACTCCAGTTTAGACAGAACCGGGTTTAATCACAAATCAGACTATATTCTGGCTCTAGTTGAGTACTTTATGGCACGTTTGCTCATGGGGTTACCTTGTACTGGTGCTAGCTGGAGTTGATGTTTGCTGCGTTTGTTTGTAGCTGTACGTAGTTTTACCTCTGGTAAGAACTTGGAGAAAGTAGATGGTTTCTTACAGTAGTCACTAAAAACAAACTGATGATAAACTCTTGCTTCAGGTGAGGCAATGATTTAATCTCTAGATCTCTGGATAGTGGAGGCCACATGATGATAAGGGGCTTCCAGTGTGGGTTATTGGTAAGGAAGGAGGAAGCCCAGCGGGGGAAACCCTGATCGTGGATGAAGAAAGAGCTACCAAAGGAAGGCAGAGGGAGAGAGGGGAAAGGGCAAAGAGGGAAGTGTCGTCATGTTCCATAAATTGTATCTCTTGGCTTCATTCTGGCTATGTCAAAAAATTGTTTTTTAACTGGTGTGGTGAAATAAGTAGTGGATGAAGAGCTTGTGAGTTCGAAAGCCAAGTTCCATTAAGGTGGGAGAACTGATCTCAATGGTAGACATTTGACATAATTACAGAGCATAGGTTTCGACAAAAAGTATGCTTGGATTTTAGTAAGCAGATTTTGATCTCACAAGTTAAACTAATGGCTTATTTTGATTAATGGTTTACTAAAAGGCAATTTGAAAGGAAAGATGACAGAGTTCTTTTATGTTTTTTTAAGAGTCCCTCCCGGTCCTGCCATTGTTTTGTGACTTTTGAATCTTAGTACCTCTGAGACCATTTCCCCAGTTGTAAATGGGGATAATAATTTAGTGAAAACATTTATAGAAGTACTTGTAAATTATGTAAAATGTTTCAAAAACTAATAAATAGCTAATAGTCTTGTTCTGTTTTGTTTTGTTTTTGGTCAGAGATCTTTCAAAAATTATCACAGAACAGCTTGCCGAACAGAAGGTCAAATAATTGAGGTAGAGTAGAGACTTTCCTTGGTTCTTTCAAGTAAGAATTCCATCAATGTGTTACCTTTTTTGGGGGTTTATTATAATTATTTACATTTTTATTATAGCATATTTGTAGAAAGTAGTTTAGTTTAATCTATAAAGAGGTTCTTTTGTCACAAAACTCTCTCAGCTGTTTTTGTAGAGATTACATAGGGCACATTTTTATGATGTTTTTACCCTTCAGACCACTGTTAGAAATGTGCTCATGGTGAACTTGAGCTAATTAAGCCAAACTGTGCTCTCTGGTGTAAGAAAACCGAGGCAAGACAAAGGAAATCTTCTCCCTGCGGATATAGGTTAAAGGAAACCATACATACAGGTGTTGCAAAACCACTTCCTGGTTGAGATCCAGAGCAGAATAATTATCTGAGGGCAGCAGAAATCAGCTGAATTCATTTTACAAAGACGAAAAACAAAGCTTTTGTTTCAGCTTTTTAAAAAGGAAAAAGGAAAAGATAGTTTAGAATGTACGTTTATTTTGTATCAGGGGCCGGTGAAGAGGAAGGAGAGGCAGAGGCAGAAGAGAAGAAGCCAGGGGGTGGGGAAAAGTCCACTCGGAAAAATGAAAGCAAAGAGGCTTGAAGCAGATTCGGTAACTTTGCCATAGTTTTGCTCTGAAGGTATTTAAATAGACTGTTCACTCTTCCGTTCGCCTGAGCCGCGGACCAGACCCAGAGTCAGTCCGTCGGTCCGTCCTCCTCACTGTTGCAGTGTGAGGTGCTTACCGGTGTGGACGCAGCAGTCTGTCTAGGTTGGCCACGAAAAGCCCTTGCAAGGGGGTGGTTCTTTGGGGAGCCAGGGCAGGGTTACCTCGTTATCTGACCGCATCCAAACACCTCTGTCACCGGCTTTCTTCTCTCTTCCCGCTGCTTTAAAAAATGCTGACGGACTACATAACCTCTTCCAAAGTGCAGCTTTGGCCTCTCCTTGGAAGCTAGGTTTTACTGTGTCCGAAGGAATGTTTCCTTTCTCGTCAGACTTTTAAATTGATTACTACAAGATTATTTGTATAAAGTGAGTTCATTCTGAAAGTGTCCCGACAACAGCTGTCCTCTAAGGTGCTTATTAGTTCACTATGATTTAAAGATGAAAACGTATCCATTTATCTATCGCTGTCATTTAAAGCTTACAGCTTTACCAAAACAATGATAAAGCTTATCGAGTGAGAAAGGTTGGTTATTACATTTCCCCCCTCCCTGCCTTTTTTAGGTATTTCCAAACTACCACATATATCCTCCAACTGCACCTCATGTTGCCTACATGCAACCAAAAGCAAATGCACCCTCCTTCTTCATGGCCGACGAACTCCGACAGGTAGGCTCTCAGAGTTCCTGGGGGGAATCCGTAATGGCTGTTGTGCTGTAACGACGAGCCAGAGAAAGAACAGAGCTCTTTTCAAATGAGATCATGTGATCAAACATGCTGAATGCACTAAAGCAGCTAGAATGTAGAGTGTATGAGACCTAATTGGCATATTTATTTAAGGAAACCCGTTTTTCAAGAAAATTTGTAGATCAGTATGTGTTAGGACGTAAAACAGAATAAATAGCTACTTAAATGGGCCACCTTTTTGCACTTCGTATCCTGTGCATTGAAAGGTCTCTGAAATATATAAATTATTGAAATGGTCTCTAACCTTCAGACCACTTTTTATTAATATCTGGAGGTTGAGAATAAGTAGTTTGGCCTAGAAATAAACCTCATTTTAAAATAGCTTAATATTGGGGCACCTGGGTGGCTGGGCTGAGTCAGTTAAGCTTCCAGCTCTTGGTTTTGGCTCAGGTCATGATCTCAGTTTTGTGAGTTCGAGCCCCGTGTCTGGCTCTGTGCTGACAGCATGGAGCCTGCTTGGGATTCTCCCCCTCCCCCGACCGCCCTCTCTTGGCTCTCTCTGCCACCCCCCCCCTTGGGTCTCTCAAATATAAATAAACTTTAAAAATTTTTTGAAAAAGTAATAGAGCTTAATATTTTCTATAAAGTAGGTTTTATAAAATAATTTTTTTTTTTAGGTAAACAGCTGGATATTATTTGATACGTAGAATTTCATTTTATACTTATAATCTCAGAAAAAAAATGTTATTTCACAGAAGTTGTACCAGTATAATGTTGATGAATAAATTATTGACGAGCTTAGGGTAGGCCTTGTCTTCAGCCACAGAGTTATAGTTACGTGCTTTGGGTCAAAGCATAGCTGCTTAACCCCAACCTTAATTATAGGCAGGTCTCTCCAGGCCTGGAATTTAGACGTTTTATCGTTATTAGAAATGTCATTTCATGTTGTCGACATCAAAAAGTGTGCATATGAAAAAATATCAATACTTATTTACTTATAATAAGAAAATCAGATTTTAGAAGCTCTGTTTATATGTAAATATACTTGTTTTCTTTTCTTAGGAGCTGATTAACAGGCATTTAATAACAATGGCTCAAATCGACCAAGCAGATATGCCAGGTAAAATGCGGTTGGTCATCCTTCCTTTTAAAGGTTATTAGGATCTCGATGTACATGTTTTTATGCCTTGAACAGCTAGTTACAATTTTATGAGTGTATTTATTTGAAATCTACTTTTGAAGAGTTCCAAGATGCCACTGATCATCTAGTCCATTTCAGTTCTCCATGTGACAGTATTCTAGTTTGTCAAAAAAGTTGGTGGTTTTAAAATTCATGGTGATTTACCTCATTGTGCATTAGAATATTGTTTCCTGAAACTTGATAAAGCATGGGTACTTAAATAGACGGGGAAGGTAATTATTACTTTTGAAACTATGGTGTACCAGATAATGTGCTGATTCTTTATATGTATTACTTTCTTCCTCATAAAAATCCTATGACATTGACACGAATACTATCCTCTCCCTCTTACGTATGAGGAAAACTGAGGTTGACAGGAAGGCTAAGTAATTTGCCTTTAGCACTGATGGCTAGTAATCAGCTGGTCAGTCAGGATTTAAAGCTAGGTTTTTCTGACTGTACCACAGTGTTTCTCAGAGTACATTAAAATCTCTTTGCCTAGCTTATTCTGTATATAGCAAGATTAAATCTGGTATAATTTAGCAAAACTTTATAAATAATGCAGTAGGAATATATTTGCCATAGAGATAATCTCAAAGCATGTGGTTGTAATCAAGGACTCAACATAGTCTACTGTGCATTTTCTTGATTGCTAAAGAATTAAAAGGAATAATATGTAGCTCTTATGCCCTAACACCCATCTTTTCAGTTTAGATGGACAGGGAACTGATCTGTCATAACCTTTAAAGTATTCAGGTTGGAATTTTCCTTAATTATTTAACATTGTCTTTGAGGTCTTAGCTGGGATAAAAGAAGAAAAGAAAAATAAGTAGGTTTATTTTTGCCTTTCCAGTCTTTATGACCGCAATCATGTATAAGTCGTATGACCAGAGGCTGGGCATAACTTGAAATTATAATAGGGCTTAGGAAATAGCTGGATACGAGATTAATATATGTCAGTTAAATTTCTGTAGGCCAGTAGCCAGTAACTTAAATGTAATTAAAAGAAAAGATGCTACTTAACAGTGGTTTCAGCTTATCAGCAGCTAGGGAATAAATGCAACAAAAGATGTGTGCGATCTCAATGGGGGAGACTTACTAAGAGATATTAAGTAAGATAAATAATTAGAGCAAAATATTATATATTAAAAAAAAATTTTTTTTAATGTTTATTTTTGACAGAGAGACAGAGCGTGAGGGGGGAGGGGCAGAGAGAGGGAGACACAGAATCTGAAGCAGGCTCCAGGCTCTGAGCCATCAGCCCAGAGCCCGATGCGGGGCTCGAACTCACGGACCGTGAGATCACCTGAGCCGAAGTCAGACACTCAGCCAACCGACTGAGCCACCCAGGTGCCCCCAAAATATTATATTATAAATAGGAAGACATAATGAGTAAGATGTCAGTTTTCCTAAACTGATATATAGATGCAGTATAATTGCAGTCAAAGCATATGAGCTGTTTTTACTCATAATACTTCTGGCATTTACTTCATGTCCTAACGGATTATTTATTAAGGGCACAGTCTGACAAGACTACTCCCATTTCAGATGCCCGCCAAGGTGGGGTGCCCAGGCTACCCACATTCTGACCAACTACCAATTTGGGGGTTTCCATAACCACTACCACCACTCTCCCCCCACACCCCGCCGCACCAGTTCAGTAATTTGCTAGAGTGATTCACTTTAGGACCTGTTGCTGGTTTAGTGTGTAGAGGCTACAGCTCAGGGACAGCCAAATGGAAGAAATGCCCAGGGCAAAGCGAGGGGGTGGGCACTTGTGTACAAAACTTTAAAAGCTTTTTATACTATAAAATATTAGCGAATAGATTTAACATATCAGTAGGGAAAGATTTCTTCTTCAGGAGGCAAAGATTGCTGACTCTTAGAGAAAATACTGCTAAATTTTACTAAGTTAGAATTGAAAAGCAATCCAAAGATACCCACAGTAAAGAAAAAACCTGGAAGAAGATATTTACACGGTTGACAAAGAATATAAGAAAGACAATTCAGTAAGAGCATAAAAAACTCAACAGAAAAATGGCCAAAAGATAGGAATAGGCACGTAAAGAAAGGAAATTCACATGAGCAGTACATGTATGACGAGATGTGAACCATCACTGACAATTAGGGAAAGTTCAGGTAAGCTGCCATCTTGAAGTGCAGTCGTGTAAAGTGTTAGGATATGGATCCACAGGCTCTCTGGTGCGTTGCTGTAGGGAGCATAAGTTGGGTGAACCTGTGATCCAGCACTTCTTCTCCTGGAAACAGGTAAACTCCTATACGTTTTCAGCCGCAAAATGTATGACGAAGTATCCATAACATTGTCGCTCAAAATAGCAGAAACTTTGATCAATCCAGAGTAACTGTGCTGCTGTCAGCTAATGGAAGGTGGTACAGCAGCTGAAAAGAAGGAAGTTCACTGAGCTGCAACAACCCAGAAGAAGATTAGTAAGTAAAGTGAGTTGCAAGAGACCATATACAGCACACTACCTTTTTACAAAGTTGACCAAAATTTATACATATATTTACATTTATGTAAATGTATGTGTATATGCTTATGTATATATTATGTGCAATGCAGCCATATAAAAAAGGAAGGAAGTGAGAGAAGGAAGGCAGAGGTTGGTAAAGAGAACCATAATTTAGATGTAAGTTAAAGGTCTGATGAGTACTGAGTTTGCAGATGCTTATTCTGCTATTAAGAATAATTAACTACATAAAACCAGGCTTTATGTAGACACGAGCCAGTGATCTGAGTGTCACAGACTAAAGGTTATGGTTAATCCGCTTCTGTGCCCCATGTTCCACAAGGCTTAGTAAATGCTTTTGGGGGGGGGGGGGTCACTGCTCTAACTGATCTTTTTCATGTCTTTTGTTTACTACAATCTTCATCTCATGCTGACCCATGCATTAATATTTGGTCTTGCTGTCTTTTCTCTCCGTTTTCCATTTCATAGCTCATGTTCCCACCAGATTAGTACTTCTCAAGTTTGAAGTCATAATTTATTTCCTGTAGATCAGTGCTTCTGCACCAGGAGTGGTTACCCCATCACGGGTCATTTGGTCGTGTCTGGAACGGTTTTGGTTGTCACAGCTGGCGGTGGGGTGCTGCTGGCTACCAGTGGGTTGCCGAACACCCTGCAGTGCACAGACCAGTCCCTGACAACAGAGAGTGATCCAGTCTGGTATGTCAGTAGGGCCAAGGTTGAGAAACCGTAGTGAATCTCAGACATTCGATATCTTAGATTGGACCTGTTATTTTATATGTCCTTCGAGGGGAGGTAGGGTTGAATAGAGCAAAGACACTAACATTTCATTTTATTTTTTATCACTGTTTTTACTATTACTTGGTGGAATTGGACCCCAGACTAAAACTTGGGGCTGACGTGAAGAATGCAGCTCTGTCCATAATCTTACACGTTGGTATCCCTAGTCTGATTTTTGATGGCCTAACAGTGATTTAGGCACCCCCTATTCCCTTTATTCATACTTAATTTTATTTATTTGTTAAGTTGAGCTGGAAACGAAGAGCAAAACGACAGTGAGTATTCCTATCAGTGGAAACGTTCGGTTTTTTAAGGTTAATATCAGGCTGCATACGATCATTTCAGGGTAGACTGGGAAATGTAGTGTTCAAAGATGACTTTCTGAAACAAGGTAACACCATATGTACAGACATAAAAATGAACGTTTTGAAGATTTTATTTAAGTCGTGAGGGAGCCGGTTGTAGGACCTGTTACTACTAGCTCAGGGGTATCGAAATGCGTGTGCAAACTGGCTTTTCCACGGAGGAGGCAGGCGTTCTTCTGCAGTGCTGCCAGTTACCTGTGTGCAGTTTACAGAGGTGCAAAATACCTTCCGTGGCATCAGAATCAGACATCGAAAAGCCATCCATTGAATACTCCATGGTCTTCCACTGAAGCACGATTTTTTCCACCCCGCGACGCAGAGAATTCGACAAGCCTTGCTTGAAAGGGCACACAGGGACAAAGGAGTTAGTACAATTTTTAGCTGATTGTGACCCTCCCTCAATCTCTTTGTCACACACTGGTGCTATGACTCCTCTGCTTGGCGTAGTGAATTTCAGGTCCTCAGTCTAGCATTTATATTCCCCTCTGATCCAGTCCCAACAGAACCCCCTCAGCTTTTTCTCCACGTTGTACCTCTTCTGTAATACACCCTGCTCTCCCACCGCGTGAGATTTCACGGTTCCTGAACACAGTATACGCATTGAGGCCTGGGTGGCGGTGGTGGTTCTGTTTACTCCCTCACCACAAAGCAAAGTGCTCGTTCGCTCGTTGTGGAGTATCACTGTGAGCAGTCTCCTCCTTCAGTTTGTAGTACACATACCAAATCCTCTGTGAGATCTTTTCTAGGATCCTTGAGAATGGCTTCCTTCTGGGTATTTCCATGCGTAGTGCTTCTCAGAATGTGGTCCTTGCCCCAGCAGCATCTTTTCATTATTACCTGGAAACTTCTTGGAATTGCAAATTCTCGGGCCCTACTGTAGACCAACTAAGTAAACACTGGGCATGGGGCCCAGCAAACTGTGTATTGTTATCACTGTCAGTGACTCTGAAGGGTGTTGAAGTTTAAGAACCAGTGCCATGGTGAGTTGTACTTTTTTAATAGCTGTTTTCCTTGCACTGTATTATGTTTCCATATAGATCTCTGTCCTTTATTTTTCTCTTAGTGTCTTGATAAGAACCTGTATTTCATTAATACCTGTATTAATAAGTTAATAACCTGTCTTGAATAAGACCTTATTAATCAAAATTAATAACCTGTTTTGATTAATAACCTGTCTTGATAAGAACCTGTATTTCATTAATGAGTAGGCACTCATTACCTTTTCACTAATTTGAAATTAATTATTTCTCTTACTAGATGCTCCTCATGAAATAACCAGGGAACAAAATTTATTCATCATTTGTTTGTGGAAATCACGCTGATTGTTAAAATAAAAGATAAATGGGCAAAGTTGCAGCTGCATTTCCTTGTGTGTATACTTCCCTTGTACTGCCTTTATTTCAGTAGAATGTGTCACGTGACCTTGTTTTGAAAGTTAGTGTCTGTCTGAATCAGTGTCCGTTTTTTGCACTCTGGCCAAAATGCTGTCTGGGGGTTAAGAGCACGAGACTCTGGAATCAGAGCCCTGAGTTTGCATCCCAACTCCCTTTCTAGATGTGTGATCCTTACTTTCTTTATGAAATAGAGTTCTGTCTCCTGTGGTTGTTTCGAAAACAAAGAGATGGTGAATGTCAATTTAGCAAAGGCGGAAGGGCCATTATGAGCCTGTCTTCTGGAGTTACAGTTTTCTGATTAGGGTTTTAACCTGTATTCCTTAACAGGCATTCAGTGAAAAATTATTAGTCATATTGGTCTGTGTGTTTTTTAGAAAGAGATTTGTTGACGTGTTTTAAAAATAGTGCTAAACATATTTATTGTAAAAAATTTGGGAAGTATGGCATAGTGTAAAGAGAATAACAGTGCTCCCACTCAGAGGTTACCATTGTTGAAGTTCTTGCTGTGTTCTTTCTAGAAGGTTTTCTGTGTGTACTGTGCATGTTCACTTACCTGCTTTTCATTTGAAATCTCTTGAGTATTCCTAAGTCATTCAAGACATTTAGGAGGATGGAAGCTGTTCCATTGGGAAATGTAATTTGATTGTATTTGAAGCGCTAAAAAAATCCTCCTCTTTTTGAATTGCAAAACTGATACACGTATGTATCAGAAAATAGGGATAGGGGCACCTGGGTGGCTCGGTCGGTTAAGCCTCGGACTCTCGGTTTCTGCTCAGCTCATGATCTCACGGTTTGTGGGATCTAGTCCCGTGTCGGGCTCTGCACTCAGAGTGCAGAGCTTGCTTGGGATTCTCTCTCACCCATCTCTCTCTATCCCTCCCCCACTCTGGTTTTCTGTCTCTCAAAATAAATAAATAAACTTTAAAAAGAAAAGTAAATTGCCTGTACTCTTTACAGAAACCAACCACTGAATGCAGTTAGTCTTTTTTTTTTTTTTAATGGTGATTTATTTATTTTGAGAGAGAGAGAGAGCACGAGTGAGCAGGGGAGGGGCGGAGAGGGAGAGGGAGGGAGAGAACCTCAAGCAGGCTTTGAGCTGTCAGCACAGAGCCCGATGCAAGGCTTGATCTTACAGAACCGTGAGATCATGACCTGAGCCCAGATCGATCTGGATGCTTAAACTGACTGAGCCATCCAGGCGCCCCTATTTAGTCCTTATAAGAAACAACAGATTGGGATTCAAGATAAATAGTTTTCTAAATGCCTGACTAGAGTATCATGAGCCAATTACAATGCATTATCCCAGCTATTTTTAAACATAATTTTTCTTGCTTTGAAGAACGTGGAAATCATGAGGATAAAGTTGTTTTCATTTTCTTTCTTTTATGTTTTACTAGGGAGTAAAACAGTGCTGTTCCACTGAATGGTTGAAAGTCTTGATAGATTGCCATATTTATACATACATATACCCACAGATACATTACACATACACACTCCAATTTAATGTTACTTGTTTTGAATTTCTGTATGTTTTAAAAAACAAGAATTCATATGCTTAACACCATTGTCTAAATATATTTTGTGCAAACCAAAGTGTTTTAAGAAGCAAAATCAAAATCAGAAATGTTTAATACCTGTAAGTGATAACACAAATTGTTTCTAATAACTGAGAAACAAAAAGTTGTGTGGTGCTTTAAAAGATAAATATTTTCAAGGGGCGCCTGGGTGGCTCAGTCCGTTTAGCATCCTACTCCCGATCTCGGCTCAAGTCCTGCTCTCAGGGTCATGAGTTCAAGCCCCGTGTCGGGCCCTGGGCTGGGTGTGAAACCTATGTAAGAAATTTAAAAAAAATTTTCTGAGTGTATGAAATCTGGTTCTTTGGTTGTTCTGTAATGCTTATTTTTTATTGATAATGAAACCATTTTCTTTTATAGAATTGTTATGAGTGTTGACACTGTTCCAGAATTCAAAAGTATGTTTTGATACCCGTGGTTTATGGTAAATTCGATTTCTTTTTTGCTCTGAGAGACTTATGCATATCAGCAAGTTAAAGTTGTCTTTTACGAATTACTCTAGCAGTCCCTACAGAAGTTGACAGCTACCATAGCCTGTTCCCTCTAGAACCACTGCCGCCGCCCAACCGGATACAGAAATCAAGTAATTTTGGATACATCACATCTTGCTACAAAGCTGTAAACAGCAAAGACGATCTGCCGTATTGCCTTCGGAGGATACACGGTACGGAAGATAAGTTAGCCACTCTTTGAAGCATATGGTTGAGGCTAAGATTATTGAAATATTCCCGCATGTATTTATTTATTTAATATGTGTATAAGGGATAATAAATAAATTTGTTATTTCATTTGGAAATTAGTAGCTCATAAATGATATATCACATGGCCTTCTCTTCACGATTCTGATGGAATAAAGGAGGGATTTTGTTTGCAGTTTAGTAGAAAAAATTTCCTTTTATAGGTTTTCGTCTCGTTAACACAAAGTGCATGGTGTTGGTCGATATGTGGAAAAAAATTCAGCACTCAAATATCGTGACCTTGCGTGAAGTATTTACCACTAAAGCATTTGCAGAGCCTTGTGAGTAATTTGTACTTGTCTTTCTGCTTTTGTGGGCTTCATTACTTGAAGCCAGATTGCAATAATGAGTGTTTTGTGTTTTATTTTAAGCCCTTGTGTTTGCATATGATTTCCATGCGGGAGGAGAGACTATGATGAGCAGACACTTCAATGACCCTAATGCTGATGCCTATTTCACAAAGAGAAAGTGGGGTAAGAAAGACACGCAAGCAAGATTCATTTTGACAAATGCCTTTGCTCTGTGGAAGAGTGGTTTTCTATTTTAAAGTGCACGTGAATTTGTTTCTGTGATCATAGCGCATTAAAAAAAGAAACGTCTCAAAGAATCGAAGCCAGTCCATAAGCGGCTGGGAAATAGAGTATTGTGTGTAGGCTGAGTATGGAGGCAGGGTGTGAAAGACTCGTGGAGGTGTCTGAAATGTAAATAACTGAGAATGTGGTGAAAGTGTTTTCCTCTTAAACATTTTGGTTTTTTCTTTTAAAACTACAAGGCTTTCTGGGGG